ATGACAAAGACACTGACAGGACATGTATTGGTTTATGCCAAGGTGTCATAAAGACATCTCAAACATTGTCATATTTGCATTAACAATGTCATAACAGAGAGAATGACACTTAAAGGGACTCTGTGTAGATTTTTAGGTATTTCATTATCTGAAATCAATATTTTTATTTATAAATATGTCCTCAATGGTGTACAAATACCTCTGCAAATTATCTGACTTATCCTCGTAAATGAAGAATTTATTATCTTTATGTACATGGGACGGGTAGGTTCACGGAGGCTTCCATGTCCGTTCCGCCATCTTGAAAAACTATAATAGCAGAGAGGGTCAAAAAGTACCACCACCAGTACCACCAGCGTTTTCGTTCAGACTCAGAGCCATCGTCACGTCACATTGAGAGGCGCATTCCCTGCAAGTTTAAACGGCTGCATTGCACTCCTATGATTGCTGATTGCTCTTTTGCTCTATTATTTGTAATGGCGGACCATATGCCGAGTCACAGGAGAATGCATCCTCCTCGCAAAAAAAGGCTAGACTTGAAAGAAAAAGGAAACGTGACCGGAGATTGTAAAAAACAAGGCCATTAATTTTTCCGTCATAAAATTAATCGGATCGGGTTCGATTTTCTGCCTTTTTCGCATCCAGAGCCAGCATTTTGAGAGGTCTTTTGCAGGGGCGGGTCCACGTGGTGGCCAGGGGGGGCACCGGCCCCCCCTGAAATTCGATTGGCCACCCCAGGTGCCCCCCCTAAAAGTGTCTTGTGATTTGTTCATTTTACGGCCAATCAGTTTATAGGAGGTTTGTGATTCAAAGAAGTGCAGCGCCAGAGAAACGGTCAACATATTACTAATGCTGCTGCGTTGCGTAGTGTGGGTGGAAAGTGAACGTGTTCCCCGGGCTGGTCATGTTAGCGCGGAGGTACCTGTGCATCCCGGCAATGTCAGTCCCCTCATCAGAGCGGCGTTTTCAGCGGCTGGACTGAAGCATTTGTTTGCAGAGACTCGCGCTCATGCGCTGAAGTGGCAGGCGAAAGTGTAAACAAGGCTTGAGGGTCACCATACAGGTTGCGGTCGCGTCTGACCCCAGATCATGTCATCAACATGCTTATCTTTCTCAACAAAAATCAGTAGACTGGAGCAGAAGTTGTATGCGAGTTATTTTTTATGAAGCTTAAAGTAGCCCATAGAAAGTAGCCTAGCCTAATTGATTGTCAGGTAGGCTAATCTCTCTCACCCTTTCTCGACTCCGTGCCTTGATTGAGTTCATGTTGACAAAACCTGTCAGATCTAAATGTTATTATGTTTTTGGTTAAGTTATTTTTATTATTATTTATTATTTTGGAACAAACGAGGGTCTCACGAGGGCCAACTCGCAGCTGCAGGTTCAGTTGCCTTAGAGCACCGACGCGCATATCTTCAAATTTAGCCTAACCGAACGCCCAGTTTAACTGCCACAAGTTGATCATCTTGTAATAAAGATCTAATCGAGGAAAAACACACTTTATTTTTGTATTTTCATGGCATTTTTAATTTATAAAAAGTGAAATATAATAAATTTGAATAAAAAAATATTAAAGATTAATTGATAGTCAATCGTTAATTCTTCCGACGATCGACTAAGAAAATTTAATTGAATGGCCATCCCTAATTCAGTCAAAGTTTAATAAAACACAATAAAAGTATAATACACTGGGCGCTATCAAACAAATTAATAAACACTGTCATGGTGATTTTGCATATTTTGTAACAGTTTATTTTGTGACAGTGAGTGACCACATTATAATAATTGTCTGGTGACACGTACGTTACTTGTTAATGCATGAGAGTAAGTCAGTTAGATAGTCAGTTAAATTGTGAGTCCTAACTTAGTAATTTATACGTGAAATGACATGGATGCATTCTGTACATTTCATTCACAATTTGAATTGTTTTTGTTGATATTGAGAATAACAGACAAACATAAGTGTTTTTTTGTTTTGAAGGCAGGGAAGAGAGCAGTGCCAAGCCATGAAAAGAAGTAAAGATATAGGGAGTTTCTTTCAAAGAAAAAACAAAAACAAAACAAGTGTAGAGGCAGAAGCAACTGAAGAAAATGTCAGGCAGCAAGAAAAAATTGTCACTGGAACAGAATCAGCCAGCAAGGAATCAACAGGCCAGACAGACAGTGATTAATTATTATTATTTGAAAGAGATTGTGAATAAAACTACTGTATATTGTAATGGCAAAACTAATTAAAAGAAAATAGTTGACCTTGTTTCTGCTTCTGGGGTTTTAAAATTGCTCATTATTAAAATTGCTTTTATTTTATAAACTTGTTAGTTTTATAAAAACACTAAAAATAATAAACACTGGCTCTCAAATTAAACTTAATGGATATATACAGGGATGCCAAAAAACTAAATTAATCAAAAATGTGCTTTATTACTACATTTGTTTACAAGTAACTTTATTCAAGTTAAAAAAAATAATACAATCAATAGGATTTACGTAATATACTGTAGAATTTAGCTTTTTTTTTTTTTTTGGTCACTGGTGGCCACCCCATTTGGAGGCAGTGCCCCAGCATGGCCCCCCCACTAAAAAATGCTCTAGACACGCCCCTGGATGTATATAGTCTTTGACAAAAACTCAGTGTTTAGCTTTTTTGCTAAAAATGTATCTTTTTTTTATGAAACTTATTCAAATTCAAGTGTTAAAGGAAATGGAATGGATGAAGAAATATGTTAATAAAATTGTAATGCAATACACTTACTGCCTCAGATGTGGCCATTCTGACGGACAAAACACTTCCAAAATTATCAGGAATTTACTGGTCAAAAAACTTCAATGGAGCTTAATTTTGGTAAAATGTTAATAATATAATGACACATGCAAATGTCTGACCATATTTAAAGCCACAATATCAACTTTGAGACAATTAAAAAAAAACAGGGTTTTTTTTTTCATTCCCTGAGAAGTAGAGGTTTGGGACATACAAGGTTTCCGACTGACAGCAAAGATAACTTCCAAAGGAACAGACAAAAATCTAGGCAACTTAACTTGATCTTGATTTGTGTCAATAAAAGTAAAACAATAAAAGTTAAAATGCAACAGTTGAGCAACACATTTCAGGTTTTACATAATCAATTTTCCCCCAAGAGACAGTTTGTGAATGAATTGTTAAAGACATTGGTCATAACTGTCTGCCTGTAGTGCAAAATGAGTGTGTCAGTTCAGTGAGGGACATGAAGCAGATTGTTGGAAACGATGCTCATTAGCACTGCTCCTCAGAGCTCCAAGGCAAAGTAGTGATCTGTGTTTTCTTACCCTGCAAATCTACAAAGGAAGTTGAGTTTCTGTCGTGATCTCTCCCCAAATGAAGTCTTCTAAGAACGCTTTGAGTAAATAATTCATTCTCTATGCTGATCGAAAATTCAGTACCCCATATCTTGTTGTTAAACTGAAGCAATATAAAAGTGAACCAAGTCTAATCAGCACAGGAATGTAACATCTATCAGTGCCATTGGGATCAGTTTGACTCTGCTCCAAATCAGTGAGCAAGTGCCAGCAACCCAACAGATGCTTTTATCTGATCATCCCTCATTATTGTGCCTGTATGTATGTGTGCATGTGCTTGTGAGGCCAAATGATTGATGCCCGCCGTTGTGTTTGGTTGATATTCACAAATCAATGGGGTAACACTTTTTTTTGACTGTCCACTTTAGACATTCTACTAACCAGTGGTGAGCCGTCAGGGCCAGCAAGGCCTTCTCTGCTGGCCTAAACACCATCAGAATCACTGACTTGCACTTTAATATATTTTTTCCATGAATGAGTATTAAATTATTCCAAATAGTTCGTTCTCTTAATTTCATTGCTTTTCTCTTGGTTGCGCTGCTTCCAGTAGTATGTTTTTATGTTAGAGCTTGTATCCAATCATATTTAGGGCTGTAGCGATACACTAATGTCACAATACGATGATACGCGATATTCAACTCACGACACATATCACGATATTCAGCCAACGATACAATTCGGTACGCTTGCATCATTTACTGATAGATTTTAGGGGACAGAGTGATTTTGGTGACATCATGTGTTCCATTTACTTGGATTAATTGAAATCAGACAGCTTGCAAAATAAATGCTGGACAAAATTAATCAAAGATGTGTTGAGAAAATTAGTTCCATTTATTAAAACAGTGCACTGCAAACTGTAGCTTATAAGCCTTTGAAAACAAAATAAAGTGCAACATTGCAATTTGCAATTAACAATGGAGAGTTAAAGTGCAAGTGGCCTGTTCTGTGAAACTTAAACAGTTTCTTTAACAGCTTTTTAAAGAAAAGCCAGCCAGGTAAGTAAACAGAGTATTACCATGGCTTCTCCAAAACATCAAATAATTCAAGTCACTAAGAACATTTAACTTAAAACTTAGCTGAGTATTTTAAGGCCTGCAAGCCTACACGTATGTGAGGTAGCTAGTTTAGCCAGCAGAAAAAAAATAAACCATGGCAGCCAGACAATAATTCAAGTTGAATTTTTTTTTTACACATCTTGGCAAAGTAGCTTAAAGTCCCCGTGAACCGGAAGTTGCAAACGATTTTTCTCCAGTGCTGTGACGTATTTCCAAGTGAAACGGAATATTGAACAGAGGGCAGGGTTTTACTCTAGCGCTCCTCTTCTCCATCTCTCGCTCATAGCAAACTAACGGTTTGAGGGGAATGGTTAAGCGTTTCCCCACCCAAACTGTGAAACCTACGTTATCAGAAAAAGAAACCGTTCCAGACCGGAAGTAACTTTTCAGATTTTGATTAAAGATTACTAAGGTAAAACATTTTTTTTATATATATTCACTTGCACGGATTAATTGTTCACCACAAGACTAGTAATATGCGCTAACAAAGTAAATAGGTTCAATTTTGATTTCACGGGGACTTTAAGGCCTTAAGTAAACGCTAAACAAACTCTCCTCTCAACATAACTGCAGACCAATTGACCTACATTGTCTTCAGATTTTTGTTCAGGAAAATAATTTGATCCACATGCTCTGGGAGAAGTCCACTTCTCTGAGCAGTGATGATATCTCCGGCTGTGGAAAAGACCCTCTCAGAGGAAACACAGGTATACAGAGGTAACTTTTAGCAAGTTGTGACAAGAGTGGATACTGATATTGGTGCTTCTTCCACCAGAACAGTGGATCTTCTTTAACTTCCAGGAGATCTGCCTCCTTGTAGCAGGTCATCTGCTCCTTGGCCTCGTCCTCTTGGGTATTTTTCTTGGTTCGTGCTGCACCACCACCGTATCGTTCACCAAGAAGGGCAGCCAGTGGATAAGACAGCCTTGGATTCCTGGGTGGAGGATACTGACCTTCAAATAAATAAACAACAAAAACAAAAACATCACTTATAGTTAAGCACATTCAATAATTCCTACACAGAAGTTCAGACAACACACAGTGCGCTTCACTGGATAACAATGGGTAATACTACTGACCTTGACTGCTCACTCCTTCCATGAATTGCTCTCCTTCATCCACAGCGTCTTCATCTTCTTTAGATGCCATCCCCTCATCATCAGCATGAGCATTTGCTGTGCCCTCTTCATCCACACTCCAAAGTGACTAAATTAAATAAGTCAACATGAAATGAAATTCATGAGCTTTTATTGTATAAATATTTTAATTACTACATTAAATATGCATTTAAACCTGTTAACATTGTAGTATTTCATTATGCTTTTAAAACTATTTAACATTTATTTATCTATTTTAAACTGATGTCGGATTTGCCTTTTAAACTAGCAGTAAACCATCACTGCCTTACCTCTGATGGCTGCATGCTCAGTCTTGCAGCCTCTACAATCAGTCCATCATAAACTTCCTGTCTTTCATCTTCAGTCAGGAAGGGAAGACTTTTGAATCTTGGATCCATCGCTGAACATGAACGGAGTGTTGCCTTGAAATCAATGTACCTCTTCTGAAGATCCCCAGCCATGGCAGCCTTCATCTCTTTTATGACTGCAGATTCACCTTCGATCGGTTTCAGTCCGTTGATCAGTGTGTCCTGGAGGGGTGCAACGACTGACAGTGTGGGGGTCTTCTCCTTGGACATGTACTGTGTAGCCTCTTTCATAGGCTTCAGAGCGCTGACTACTTCTTCAGTTGTTGTCACGTCTGACTCAGTCAGTGTGCACAGATCTTTCTCGGTCTTCCTGACTTCACTTGAGAGCAGGGTTGGGCAGATGGCCGGTTGTTGCTCCAGGAATCTTTCCAGACCACCCCTGTGAGCGTACCACCTCGAGGAGTTACCCAGAGACACCACGGAACCAGACAAAGTATAAAAGTATTTTATTGAATTAAAATTTTCTAGGCTAAAACTGTCTGTCTCCTCTTCGGAAAGCCAGGGGTAAGTAATGAAGCAGGTGCTTATCTGGAATTCACACGACAGGTCCTCTTCAGACAGCCAGGGGTAAGTATGGAGCAGATGCTTATCTGGAATTCACACGACCTCTCCTTTTTTTCCTCTCCACACAACATCTGCTTTTATCGTCCCCCTCGTGAATGCCATTGCTCAATCTCCTCCCATCTCGCAGCTGCTGCTCATTTCACCCATTTGCAGAATCCAGCCGAACTGTTTTTTTTTTTCCCCATGGGGCAACCGGCTGGGTGTTGCGTCAAATTAGTTCCCCATGAAAACAACACCACAATAATAGTTCCGCCCCTTCGTCACCTGGTGACACGCACTATTCCATCTGTAAAATTAGATAAAACATAAATAAAGTATATTTCTTTTTAGACAGCATGGATGATTTACATAAAAAACTTAACAAATTAAATAATAATGTAATTAATAAATGAATAAGTAATAAAAAAAATAAAAATAAACTATTGAAAACTAACCACAAACTAACCAACATCCGTCATCAACTTGTGCTCTGGTAGTCGTAGAAGCCTCTGTTTCTCTTTCAGCATGTGGCTGGCTGTGGTGCTCCGTCTGAAGAAACTCACAATTCGTCTTACTCTTCCCAGCAGGCATGTGACTGCTGGGATTTTGAGGGCACGTTGTGCAGCTAGATTTAGTGTATGAGCATAACATTTGACATGAAGTGTGAATGCTGCCTCCTAAGCTGCGATTGTCATATTGGACGCATTGTCAGTGACGATTACTGGATCCTTTTCTGTGATTTATATCGCAGAATCGATAAAATCGCCCAGCCCTAATCATATTTCAGCCATCATGCATTGCCGGGTCAAATAAATCTGCTTGGAGGCCTTCAGAATCAACAGTGCGGGCACCTGTAGTATAAAATGAATGGCAATGAAACTGTTTCTTTAACCAATCAGATAATCCGTCAGATTTAATCAGCCAATCAGATTTCGCTTTGACTGCAGCGGGGCCATCTAGCTGGCATATAATAACGTCTGTATAATCTCGTTCTTTGATTGGATGCGCGTACAGACCGCATACTATTACTGGTAGTATCTGCATCTGTAGCGAACTGCGTAAACTAAATATATATTCCTGTGGATGTAATTGTTTTTAAACCCACAAATTAATGTTTCTTTCCCTCCTCAACCCCCAGCAGAAAAAAATCCCTTATTCAGCCTGATGCCAAACGCAGAGTAATGGAACTCTATTCCATCTCTCCGGGTAAAAACAGAACTGAGTCTGACTAATTTAGGCTATGAAACAAATGATTTTGAAGGCAAAAGTCCAGCTGATCTCGTTGATTTTGTTCAAAACTCTGTGTGAGAGCATGGGGCAGCTGTACAGGTCGTCATGTTTTGCGGTGACTGTGTGTGCTTCTGTCGAGCTGGCACAGAAGCACACACAGTGTCAGCCATAAAGAGAATTAAAACTTTTGCTAGAAATATGACGAGACAGGCACGACATTGTTGGAAATGAAACGCAGTTAGAACCTGTACGACAGTAATTGAAGTCTTCTTGAGGAAAGAATTAAGGATGGATTTTGTGTAAAAAATAATCTGTAGTTTTGGTGAGTATAATACTTTTTTCCCCCGTGGTGAATATGATATTCTTCTTAATTTTTCTTATACATTTATGATCGAAACTTTTTTTTTTTTTAAAAACATTCATACTATTGTAACGTTTGAAAAGGGACTATTGTAACCCTTGAACGACAAGATAAGGGAGCTGCCAGTGCAAAATAAAAACAACAATTATAGAGAGTCTTTGCGCTGATACACTATTAAAAGTTATTAATTCAGGTAGGACAGAAGGCCTAGGTGTGAAATGCACGGTCCGCCACTGCTACTAACTATAAGTAACTTTTCAACTACATGACAGCTAACTGTCATTAGAGCATTAGTAGACTGTCTACTTAATATATGCTAACACTTTATTTTGTTGGTCCCCCAACAAACATTTTCCGACTAAAAGTAACTTGGCGACTACAAGTACACTCATTCTCCTAACCCAGAGTTCTCAAGTCTCACGCATTGGCCGTGAGACACACGCAATTCAACCAGTTGACACGCTCACACGCCACACTGGGTATTTCTCACGCTGAAAAGGCAACGTCAACCAAGATGTCCTGCAAGCTTTATATATAACGTTGTATACGAGCCGTAGGCACACAGTGAAGTTTCCTGCCGCCAGCACGTATCTCTCAGACAGACTGCGTTTGAGCAATTTGTTATTTTTTGTAATTTTTTAAATATTTTTATTAATATAACATTAAAGAGTAGGCTATTTTTGATGTGATGAATTGCTCTGTCATTTATGAGATTTACCAATTGTTATAATGTCAATTTGTGCTGGTTAATTATGAACAATGGGTAAAATTGGGGGGCGGTAAGGGGGGGGGGGGGGGGTCTTCATTTGGGCTCCTCCCCTAACCGCATGTGATCTCACTCCAAGCTTTTGATAAAACTTGAGAACCCTGTTCTAACCCAAAGCCTAAAACCTAACCATAACCCAACAGTCTACTGACAATCTACTATAATATACTAATACTCTAATGAGAGTTAGTTGACACGTAGTTGAAAAGTTACTTATAATTAGTAGAACGTCTAAAGTGACTATCGAAATAAAGTGTAACGATAAATGGTGTTAAGTAAAAGTATTTGCTCTGACCAATGTTTACACTTCTAATTAATTCTGTAGTTTTGACATTAGCGGATAGAGTGTACAGATATTCTTTGCAGTGGTTAAATGAGCTAAGAATAAACACATTGATTAGGCAACTATTTGTCACCCACACAACCCTCACTATGAGGCACTTTTGAGATGTGCTATGTTTTGAAACATTGTGAATACTGCTGTGAGGCTTCTGTGAAGATATGTTGACATGCAGTGCTAGAAATGTTTAAGCCTGCAGTAAGACGGATGATTTTGAGGCCATAGGTTTGTTGTCTCAGTTGCATAATTCACATGGGTTGCAAAGTAGCAATCAATCTAATTATGTCTCTTTACTGGTGAAAAGAAATTCTGGCAGATTAATTTTCTGTTGAAGTCGAACCGGACACCACTCTTTTTAAAAACAGAGACACCCGCTTTTTTAACAAGGCAAGCAGCACTGTTAAATATATTGCCCAAATTAATGAGTGGCTCTTGTGAAGGTCACCAAGGTCATGTCCCTAGTAACAGTTTGTGAATTCTTAAGTGGTGCCCATTTATAATTTGTACAACTATTGGACGGGTCAATGATGTGGCACAACTGGCTCGGAGGCGGTGACGTGAACAATCTCTGAATCGGCCATCTTGTCCGTAGACACTGGCTCTGCAGAAGTGACGTGAAGCGTCTCTGGCTGGTCAGAAGTGACGTGAAGAGTCTCTGGCTCGGCAGAAGTGACGTGAAGGGTCTCTGGCTCGGCAGAAGTGACGTGGCTGACGTGAAACTCTGGCTGGATGTGGCTGACGTGAAGCTCTGGCTGGACGTGGCTGACGTGAAATGAGGGCTCAGCAGGAATAAGTTCCGGCAGGTCAGTCTCAGCAGGACCAACATGAAGGAATTTAGGCTCAGGGGGTACTGCGGGTTCACGGGGTTCTTCGTCCGCCAAGCCCACAGTAAAAGTTGAACCACTCAGCAAAAGGGCCAGGTCAATATGCTGGTGTACCGTCCCGTGAGGATCATGGTCAGGCATCAACGACCGGATGGGTTTAGATAACCCCCCGCGGAAAAAGATTGCTAAACACAATTCATCCATACGAGTGCCAGCTCCAGAAAGTCTTACATAGTACTCGATCAGACGATCTCCTTGACGAAGACACAAGAGCTGAACATCTGGGCACAGGGGTGGCATGGCTGCTGGATCCATCTTTTGGCTAAGTCTTCTGTTACGAAGCATAGGAGTCAGTCGGATCCAAGTGTAGCTTGTCTTTATTAAACAGAGTAATCACCAGGCAAGGGTCATACATCAGCAAACTCAGCAGAGAAGATCAGGCAAAATCGTGGTCAATAGAGCCCTTCACGGTTGACGTCACAGAAAAATTTGCGGTGCGCAGTGCACATGTCGGGGTCAGAAAAGTTCATTCCATCGTGCTGTAACCATAGTTTAAACCAGCAAACAGAGAATTTCTCGTCAACATGCCTACTTGTTGCGTCGTGGGTTGTGCAAATCGCACTAGTTGCGGAGTCAAATTTTTCAGGATGCAGGATCCTGAAAAAAAAATAGACGACATCTGTGGCTGCAAGCCATTAAACGGACAGACTGGGACAATGCGATGATCAAAGAGGCTCGTGTTTGCAGCGCTCACTTCATATAAGGTAAGTTAAAATCATCCTTCATCATCCCTTTCTATTAAATTTGTAGATTAAACTCGAAACAGAAGACTGCATGAATTTTCTGTACCCTAGACTATAACGTTAAACCATGCAGGTTAATAGTTTGTTAAAGGTTCTCTAAGCGATGTGGGGCCAAAACATTTTTTTGTCACATACATCAAACGTCTCCTCACTATCGGCTAGCTGCCTGTCCCCTAAACACACTGTAAAAAAACGCGGTCTCTGTAGACACCACAGGCTCCACAAACGGCAACAAAAACAATCATGTCTCACCCGGACAATGAAACCTAACAAACAGTGTTCCAGCCAATCACTGGCAAGAAGTATTTGAGGGTGGGTCTGAGGGGTTAGTGCGCGTGCACATGAAGGGTGTGTGTGTGTGTGAAGGAGATAGAAGCATCAGAGGGAAGTTTTAAATATGGCCGATACACGACCAAATAGACGTCGTTCTGAAGAACAAATTAAAAAGAAGAAGGAGTCGGATAAAGAACGTGCGAAGTTCCGAATTTACATCGGTAGCAAAGCTTTTGAACGATGGCGAGAACTCCGGCGGCAGAAGGGCTTCCAGTCCGACATTCAGGTTGCTCTGTTTTTGCTGGACGGGTGGGTAACGTTAAATTGTTTTTTTTTCTTCTAAATTGACGCTTTATGTTCGCCAAACCCACACAAGGATATAATTAGCTAGAACTATGCACGTTCACAATTATTTCAGGAAGCACGGAAGGGAGGGGGAGGAGATGAGATGAGATGCGGCGGAGGGAGGGTCTAGCTAGCCTCCGATTTGTTTGAAAATATTACGAAGGTCAACAACACCCAGGATCGCTCAGAGAACCTTTAATGTAAAAAAAACTCCGCTTTTAACACACAAAAGTCATCGCTTATATCGCTATTTAAAACCGTCTGAACATGCCCACAAACTACGTAATTATACGCGTCTAGCGATTTGTAGGCTTTGAGTTTTTCGCGTGTGTAAACACTCGGCTTGTCCACCAGATAGCTGTATATGGCGGGCCAATATCTGGCCACTTACTGACGTTGTCTACCCATTCTGTTATGAGCTCGGGATCAGGGAGACAATCACCATTAACTAAAACAAGTTTGTTATGGTAATGTTCCCGTTCCTGTGGTGGTAAAGACAGTGCATAACTTGACACAATATCATGCCGGTCTATTAGCCGCGCCATTTTTCTGACCCCATGCTGCATGCGCGCGCAACCAACAGAGGATTCCAATGTATACAAACATTGAAGGGGTCTATAAACAGGCAGGCTGTCAGGGCAGGCAGCAAACAAACAGGATACAGGAACAGGCAGAAGATCAGGAACAGGCAGGTAAACACATGGAAAACTACTTAGAAATGTTCGCAGCAGCAAAACAAGACTTAGCCCAGAGTGTTTTGTGAGTGTGGCTTAAATAGTATTAGAACATGAGGTGCAGGTGTGTGTAATCAGTCCAGGGAGATGCATGATGGGAAATTGAGTTTTTTGAGAAGTGATCAGTCTGGAGTGGAGAGCCCTCTGGTGACTCTCAGGGGCACTCTAGCTGGTGATCGTTACAACCACACTCAATTGGCATAATTATGTAATGACAAGGAAGTAACCTCACAATCCTTATCTGTATCTAAGGTGTGAAAATGTGTGTAGAGTTTTACAAATCACTATGTGTAATGTTTTGCCAAAAAGGGTGAAGCTGACAACCTGCTTACAATTGTGCAAATCTAGGCTGGCGTTTTGCTCCTTGAGTGTAAGGTTTTGCTAATAATGGGAAAGTTTAAATTTTTGTGTGAAAGCAATTGAAAAAAAAACTGTAAGAATTAGAATCTAACTATGTGCAGTTAGTGCTGTAGTGAAGTTTTTCTTCCACGCAACAGACCAGGAGACTTTTGAGGTATATTTCACGCAGAAGTTATTTATTGCGTCGCTGTAGTCATCTCAAAGATAGTCTGATTTAAAAGAACCTTACATTCTTATTTATACATTTCAAAGAGGGTGGGATTACCTAAAGGTGGAGACACTGAAACAAAGCATGTGACCCTGGAACTCCAACTTTCAAGGCAAATGGTGTCAGACATTAACAAACAGTAGCAGCTGTTCTAACATCAAACAGGCATTTTCACACGGTGAGACGAGAAACAGGAAAGGCCTAGTTTCCTGTGTGGTCACAGGACAATCAGGAGGGTCACACTGGGAATTCCTACTGTTTTCAGACACTTTCTCCATTTAAAACATTAAATTAAACATATTTATAAAATTTGTAATCTCACATTTCCCCCACTTGAGAGTACTAATTACTCTCACATTAAGTACAAATTTAAATGATTACAAGTTCACTCTTGTAACTTTTGCTAGTTACAGGCAAATGTTCTGTGTTTGCTTTTTCTGTAATTGCATGCTGACACAGAAAACAAACATGCAATTAGGGTCCATGAAGCTCTTACGGAAGAATTAAAGTTCAGTTACATCTGGCGTAATTTTTGCAGAAAGATCAAGACTGTTTAACCATCATGTTTTGTGCACAAGTGAATCAATGCAGCCATCTGCGGCTGTGGCCTGCAACGTTTTCAGCAAAACAAGGATTCTGGAGTCTTCACTTTGTGCGATGTCCTGGTGGTTACTACATCTTGATAATGTTGATGGATAACTGAAGGTTCCGTTAGTCTTTTCTCTGCGTTGTGTTTTTTTTTTTCTCATTGTTTTCTGGAAGTGGTGTCTTCATACGCAGGTGAAGACGTCTGTGCGTATGGGTCTCGGGACAGCCATCAAGTTGTATCTGCATACAGGAAGACAAAAGACAGGAGAGCAGAATTTCTTCAAAGACAAGGGTTGTATCCTGCTGAGTAAACACTGAGTCTGCCATTGTTCCCTCTTTCCCTATTTCTTAATTCTTGACACCTAAAGAACACAGTGAGGTGAGGATTAAACTAAATATGGGGAAGGCCTATGAGGGAATCTTCGCCCAAGGGGTGACCCCCGACGCATATGGCATTTCGGTTCTTCCCTTGGGTTCCTCACTGGTTCTTGTCCTATCCTACCCCTGTCAGTGGCAGAACTATGCAGTACACTTTGCAATGTGACAGAACACTTTTCAATGTGACACATGATACCAAGCTTTTTCTTCCTTGAAACAATACTGCCGATCAACATCCCTTGATGTGGCATATGTCACTTAGTGTAGGAGCCATACACTGGGTTTCTTTGTGGGCTTTTATTATGTTTTCTCTTTTTCTTGCACTGTTGTGTACATGCACGCGCATGGTGACATCATCGATGACTGTGGGTGTGACCGGGGGTGCGATGTCTGTATTAATGTGTGAGTGAGCTCATCTGTGTGTAAGCTTGGGTTTGGATCATGGCTGCAGGGTGAACATGGGGAGAAATTTTCTGTAGACCGTCACCACTGGCTTCACCACTGTTTTTCCTATCAATGTTATCATCACTAACATCCTTCACTGATGTCTCTGAGGTACCTTTGCACTGCTTACAACATGCATCGCTCAAAGTAAGTGATTGGTTGTTCATGTCTGTGAAATAGCGTAATAAAGAGACTCAATTCATACAATGGTTCAGCGTGACGCGTCTTCAGTGTGAATCCTCATGTTTCAGCCTGCTGTGGCGTTCTAGTTGTTTGGTTGTGTTTTTTTTTAGTAATATACGCCGCAATATTATGTCAACAGAAAGTTGTTGTTGCGTTGATTCAAACGTATTGTAGGGATAACGTTGGATGTTTGCGATCGCTTTCAGTGTTGGAATGTTGACGAGCCAGCGCGTTGAGATTCGCGTAAGCCCATTCATTCATAAATTGGCTGTTATTATGCTTATTTTTTATCGCAGTCGTCTTTATCACAAGGCATAAACATCTAACATTGGGGATTGTCTGTTAAGATACATAAGAAACATTTGTTTTCCCTGCTAGGCTTAGCGGTACTTTCACATAAGGTGATCGTACTGTTTGTTTGTTTTAGGACCTTTTGCAGTGTTTTTGTTCGTGTGTCAAGTGGGTGAAGCATTGCGCTTGGGAGTACCGCCGAAGTTCTGGTTCTAAGACGGTCTGTCTGGTTCAAGGCTATCGGTATTTAGGTACATAAATACCCACCGCTAGTATACACAGAGGACTAGGGTTAAGTTAGTTTAGCTTCTGTGAATAAGTTAGAGGGAATCAAAGACAGCATTGTACCTTGTTCATATGGAAATATAATAAAAAGGGTGTTGTTTTAAGCATTTTGCTAATAGAGATTTTTTTGTGATTATCGGATTATCTTGTAAACGAAATGAAGTCGACTGGTACCGGGTCTACTGAGAAAAGGCGAGTAAAACTTACACCTAAAGCTTTTGAATATAAATTGGAGCAGCTCCAAGAAGAGCGCAAAGCAAAGGTAAAAAAAAAATTAAAGATGGAATAAGAGAAATTAAAAATTTAATGCAAAGTGTTGGAAATGCTGAAAAAAAACGGTCTTGTCTTGAAATTTTGTCGAGTTTGTTCACAGAAGCAAGTCACATTCATGGTGTGGTGGTTTCCATGCTCCCACCTGAGGAA